TCTGATTGGTCTTAAACTTGCAAGCTCAAGCAATTTTTCCACCAAAGCCTCTCCTGGAGTTGGAACTAAAGGCATGTGCCACCACCATGCCATGCTCAGACTGGGGGACTTCTGACAGCGGGCTGAGACAACAATGAGACTTGGAGCAACTGCAGCCCATTAGAAGGGAGACAGTAACAGGGTGACAGCAAATATCCTTCAAGTATACCCTGAATCACCCCAAAATACTGTGGCTGTAGCTCCATATGAAAACTCTACATCATTACATATAGGTAAAAATGTACGCTGTAGCCAGCTTGGTACACACCTGCAATTCCAACACTGGGAAGATGGAGGCTGAGGATCACACAAGGTTAAAAACACCCTGGGCTACACAGCAAGACCCTGTTTCCAAAGCAAAAGCAAAAAACCAAAAATGTTAAAATAAGTCTTAAGAAAGAAATTTGCCCACAAAATGACTCAGCTGGGTAGGGCACTTGTCACTAACCCCGATGACGACCTAAGCTCAGTCCCAGCACCCACACCACGGAAGGAAAGAACACATACACACACACACACAAATACATGTAAGTTTTTAAAGCTATTACCATAAAACTTTAAGGCAGAGCACTGGCAATGATGCAGGGCCTGAGGACAGGAACAAAGAAGCACCATGCAGCCTGACAGCACAAACGCCTCTATTGTGGCTACAAGGATTACAAAACTGAGAGAAGTCATAACTATATTCCAAAAAAGTTCATTGCACTGTTCAGTAAACTGTGTTCCAAAGACACAAAATGACTGCTTCTCAGCATTTTGGCTGTGATGAAGTGCTGAACACACACAAAAACATGAAGGTTAATAGCCAGGCACACAGTGTGCACACCTTTAATCTCAGCAAGGAGAGACAAAGGCAGACAGATCTTTGTAGTTGAGATCAGCCTGGTCTACATAGCAAGTTCCAAGCCAGACAGGACTATACAGTGAGAACCTGTATCAAAAAAAAAAAAAAACCAGAAACAACAATAACTCCAAAAAACAGTATACTATATACACTAATAATCAACTTGTAATAAAAATGGATGTGCAAAGCACAAATACATTATAATCTTGTCTTTCTTTCACCCAGCACTTATGCCAAATTTTGTTAAGCATGTCAAGGGACTTTACTGAAGAGGAGCATCTGTCAATGTTGTACAGAACTGGCAGCAAATGATTCTCTAGCACAGATCATCAGAAACAGCAGTCAAACGTGGGGGTGCAGGAAGACGACAGAATCAAAGCCAAGCACGGTGGCACACACCTGTAATCCCAGCACTTGAGAGGCAATAAAAGAATCTGGAATTCATAATCCCAGCACTTGGGAGGCAGAGGCAGGCAGATTTCTGTGTTTGAGAGTTCGAGGCTAGCCTGGTCTACAGAGTGAGTTCCAGGACAGCCAGGGCTACACAGAGAAACCTTGTCTCGAAAAACCAAAAAAAAAAAAAAAGAATCTGGAATTCAAGGTCATCCTGGAGTAAGATCTGTCTAAAAACCAAAGGAGGAAAAAAGAAAAAAAGAAAAGAAATCAGTGTTCCAATTCTCAGGTCCTGAGTAACTGATTTTGAAAAGAGTACTCAAAAGGAGAGGTGCTTGAGTATAGACAGCCACCTTAAGATTCTTCTTCAATTATTCAACTGACAAAATGACAAATCTTCACATCTACCATGGAGAGCTAATTGGAGGAAGAACTCTGGGATCCAGCTCCAAGTGAAACAAAGAAAAGAACAGCATTTGATATTCCATTTTCAGATGTACAGAAACTGCATCTCAGCTGCAGCTATAAACGAATGCTTCAATGTGTAATTGATTCGTGGTTCGACTACTGAAAGGTGAGATGCTGCATTTCTAAGCACTGAAAGAAATATCAGGATAGTAGAAGTCTAACCTAAACAGCAAGTAAAAATGTTGGTTTTGGAAACAAATGCAAATCTCCACTCTGTACTTACTGCTATGGTAGCATTCTGACTGGCGTGATAAGCCAGAATGTAACTCACTGGTTTAAGAATTTAAAATAGCCGGGCAGTGGTGGTGCACGCCTTTAATCCAAGCACTTGGGAGGCAGAGGCAGGTGGATTTCTGAGTTCGAGGCCAGCCTGGTCTACAGAGTAAGCTCCAGGACAGCCAGGGCTATACAGAGAAACCCTGTCTCGAAAAACCAAAAAAAAAAAAAAAAAGAGGAGTTGTCTAGACACTATTGCTGGTGCCAAGAAGTGCTTGCTGACAGGAGCCTGATACAGCTGTCTCCTGAGAGGCTCTGCCAGATCTTGACCAATACAGATGCGGATGCTCACAGCCAACCATTGGACTGAGCACAGGGACCCCAATGGAGGAGTTAGGGAAAGGACTGAAGGAGCTGAAGGGGCCTTATCTGGCATCAACGGGAGGGGAGGCCCTTGGTCCTAAGAAGGCTTGATGATGCCCCAGTGTAGAATAATGCTAGGGCGGTGAGGCAGGAGTGGGTGAGTGGGTGGGGGAGCATCCTCATAGAAGCAGGGTAAGGGGGGATGGAAAGGGAATTTGCAGAGAGGAAACCTGGAAAGGGGATAACATTTGGAATGCAAATAAATAAAATATCCAATTAAAAAAAAAAAAAAGACCCGGTCTCGAAAAACCAAAAAAAAAAAAGAAAAGAAAAGAAAAAAAAAGAAAGAAAGAAATACTGCTGGGGTGAGCCTGCTTTGGATGTTCATACACAGAATTAAGACATTTTCTAAAAATACAAAGTATAAACTCTCTCTTTTTAAAAGAAAAAGAAATGAGGGGCTGGGGGGATGGCTCAATCAGTATAGTAAAGTGCTTGCCTTTAAAATGCAACCTAAGCTAGGCTACTTTGATCCCACCTCCTGGGAGGCAGAGGCAAGTATATGTCTGTAAATGAGGCCAGCTTGGTCTACAGAGTGAATCCCATGTCAGCCAGAGCTACACAGTGAGACTCATTCTTTTAAAAAAAAAAAAAATTAAAAAGTGGAAAGATCTGAATTTAACCTCCAAAACCCAAGTCAAAACAAACCAAAACAGCCAGGTACAGTGGAGGTTAGTAATCCCAGCCCAGGAGAGGCAGACAAGAGGGACCCTGCAAGGTCACTGTCCCTTTAGCCTGGCCAACTTGTTGAAGTTCTAGGATAATGAGACTCTATCAGAATTTTTTTTTAAAAAAAAAAGGCACCTGAGGAATAACATCCATGGCTGTCTTCTGACAAAGTAACTAAAACACTCCTTACTGCTGGCTCTGTGAGAGTCACCATTAATAATGCATTGCTTCTCTGGGTTTCAAACTTGCCGTTCAACAGTAAGGTATACACCGTTACTCTCACTTTACATTAATTATACCATGAAACATCTCTATCTGTCAAGAGTTAAGAGAAAAAGAACTAGCAGCAAATACTGAAAAGATTGCTGTGAAGGCTGATGAGACAGCTTGGTGGTCTGACAACCTTCGTTCAAACCCTGCAGCCCAGATGACAGAAAGTCAGAAGGAAGCCTCATAACTTGCCCTTTGGCTTCCACACATGCACCCTGACACAAGTCCACCCATACACACACTAAAACAATAAACAGAGAGCAGGCATGGTTGCATTTACCTTTAGTCTAAGCACTGGGAAAGCACAGGCTAGCCTGGTCTACATAGAGAGGCTATGCAGAGAGACACAGATGGAAGGATGAATGAATGGACAGATGAATGAATATAACTATGGGGGAATGTCTAAGCCAGACCAAAATCCACACAGGCCACTGTAAACTCCCCAAAACTGAGTGCAGATCCTATCCACAGAATCTCTTCTACTCAGGGAAGTTGAAACTGATTGATCAGGTCCTCTCAGGTAGAATAGCCTCTCTGCTTAGTAGACTGTAGTCAACTACTACAGACCCTACACATAACGACATATTCTTTCAGAGTAATGCTGGACAAGTACCTGAGTGACTAGAAACTACAGCCTTGCCTACATGACAGAAAAAAACTGACTCTCACAACATCCACCTTGGCGATCTTCAAGATCACTTTAGAAACAGACAGGCAAATCATGTTCCGTTGCACTTGCTATTTTTTGTTTTTGAGACAGGTAGCCTAGGCTGTAGGCTGGCCTCTCACTCTTTATATAGACGAGGCGGGCCTCACACTTAAGTGATCTTCCTGACTCTACCTCTAAGTGCTGGGATTATAGGTATATAAACATGGAAAAACTTTTCTTTTTTTTTTTTTTTTTTTTTTGGTTTTTCGAGACAGGGTTTCTCTGTGTAGCCCTGGCTGTCCTGGAACTCACTCTGTAGATCAGGCTGGCCTCGAACTCAGAAATCCACCTGCCTCTGCCTCCGAAGTGCTGGGATCAAAGGCGTGCGCCACCACCGCCCGGCGGAAAAACTTTTCTGAATACCTGAATTCTTCAGCATTGAGAAGAAAACCCCCAAAAAATCAACTAGCCCTAGCCAGTTGGTGGTACTCGTCTTTAATCCAAGCACACAGGAGGCAGAGGCAGGCGGATCTGAGTTTGGGGTCAGCTCGATCTACAGAGCAAGTTCCAGAATAGCCAGGGCTACACAGAGAAACCCAGTCTTGAAAATAAATAAATAAATAAAAATACAAAGTAAAGAAAACCTCTGAGGTAATGGAATTCAAAGCTGAGTTCCTAAAGGAGACTCCTGCAGCACCCGGATGGAAGGCAGTCTGGCTCACTAACACGTTTGAGTGCTGCTTCAGAAAAGGAGCCTAAGACAAAGGCAAGAACAAAGCAATGTGAAGTCCATACGGAGACAGGAAGATGGCTGTCTGCAACCCACTGACAGAAGCCTTCAAACAACAGAGACAATACTTTAATCTGGGGTTTCCAGTCTCCAGAACTACTAGAAAATAAACTTCTGTAGTTAGCCACCACCAATCAAAACAGAACTGATATTTTACAAACCACACAAAACAAAAACCACTCATAGGCAAACAACCACGGCAGAGAAAGGAGGACACACTGCAGAGGAGATGCTCCTACCTGGGGAGCACAGGAGGGTCCTTGGGGCCTTCAGCAGCACTGCTAACTGTTCCTGGAGCTTCTGCCTCCTCCAAGCCATGGGTCACTTTGTGTTCAGGGCCCTGTGGGCCTGGGGGCTCCTCCTTTTCTACTTCCTGAGGCCCATTCAATTCTGCAGTAGCATCAATCTCTACCTCCTGCACTGGGACTGGCACAGCTTCCTTCTCAGCTGCCACCGCCTTGGCCTCTTCCTCCTTTTTTCTGATTTTCTCTTCCAGTTCCTTCTTCCTTTTCTCATCATCCTGGCGGGCCATGTGATCAAATGTTTTAAAGACCTAAAAATGAAACATCAATCCAACAATAAGTTCATCTGCACCCTATCAGACTACACCACCACAGAAATATAACAAAATCTTCTAAGTACAAAATTAAATAACAGTAAACCAAAGCAAAATAGAAACACTTTACAACTTCACCAAAAGCTGGTAGGAATTGTTCTTCCTCAAGAAGTTCCAAAATGAAAAAGCTCTAAATAAGTCAAATCTAACAGTACATACAAACCTAGAGTATGCAAGACTAGACAGCTTGAATTATTCACTACTTTTTGGGGACTGAGGTGGGGGGGGGGAGGGTTGTAGCAAGACAGGGTTTCTCTGTGTAGCCCTGGATGTCCTGGAATTTGCTCTGTAGACTAGGCTGGCCTTGAACTCAGCCATCTGTATGCCTCTGCCTCCTCACTGCTGAGATTAAAGGCACTTTGGAGGCAGAAGCAGGAGAATTTCTGAGTTTGAGGCCACCCTGGTCTACAGAGTGAGTTCCAGGACAGCCAGGGCTACACAGAGAAACCCTGTCTCGAAAACCCAAAAAAAGTGAAAGATGAACATACACAAGATGCACTCAGGCTTACCAGACTCTTGCCACCACTTTCCCAACTGACAGCCCAGGGGATATAGGAGTGAGTACTTGACTCCATAAACACCCACTCTGTGCCTACAGTGTGCAAGGAATAAAAACTCTAAAAAGAAAAGGAAACAAACTTACTCCTATTACCTGGGACTTCTAACACAGGAGTTCCCAAAACTGGGGTCTGATCATCCTCCTTTGGTATGTAGACACACCCTTAACATTTTCCCAGACATAATCACATTCATGAAGGTGCTGGGACTATCATGGATGGTCCATACAGCTAAAGGGCTGGGGGTGTAAGTCAGCTTGGCTAGTCATGACAAGGCAGTGAGTTCTATCTTCAACACTACACAAGTACAGACTCACACTGATAGAACTCTACACAGGTGGGGCATCATGGAGCCCTGATGCCCTGTCAGACTGTGGGGAGAACATTTCTAGAGAAAGAAATCTACAGAGGAAGAAGATCAGGTTCTAAACTGGTCCTGAAAGAAGGAGTGTTTCCACCAGAGCTCCAAGAAGCAGTTTCACCAAGAAAGAGACAGACTCCCTGCACTAGGCAGAGGTAGTAAAGGCTGAGGAAGTAAGTTGCAACACGGGCAGGACCCAACTCCAAAGGGCTGGGACACTGTGCATTCACTAACACGTCTGAGCACAATTTGAAAGACAAAAGACAGTGCTAACTATGCTGTGTACTTCTACAGTCTCAAAACTCACAAAAACCCTGTGAAAAACAACAACCTAAAATGAAGAAAAATCAAGATTCAGAGAAGTTACACAGGACACAACAAACAGTAAAAGTCAATCTAGCTAAAATAAATGGATGGATGGATGGATGGATGGATGAATAGAATCCTAAAAGATGTAAAACTAGAGACAAAGGCCAGGTACGGTAGCACACAACTTTAATCCAGCACCCAGGAGGTAGAGCCAGGTGGATCTGAGAGTTCCAGGCTACCTGGTATAAATAGTGATCGATATATAGTGAGTTCCAGCCCAGCCAGGGTACACAGTCAGACCCCATTTCAAAAAAAAAAAAAAAAAAAAAAAAAAAAAAGACAAAGCAAAACACCTACAGACAGGCCCAGAACCATTTCTAATCTGCTACTAACCTAAAGGTTTGACTCTCCAGCATCCATGTTAACTGTTAGCATTCTGTCTAAACTCCACCCCCACAGTTACCAGGCAACAGCCAGGTAGGCCTGACCCACTATAAAAGAGGCTGCTTGCCCCTCCTCACTCTCTTGCTCTTTCTCATCTCTTGCTCTCTTGCTCTCTGGCTCTCTGGCACTCTTGCCTCTTGCTTCTTCCTCCCCTTCTCCCCTTCCCCATTCCCTTTCCCCTCTCTCCACACAGTCATGGCCAGCCTCTACTTCTCCAGCCTCTCCCCTCTCCCTCCCCTCCCCTCCCCTCCCCCCCACCCCACCTCACCCCCGCCCGTCTGGACCTCTACTATCCTCTTAACTCCCTCCTCATTCCCTGAATAAACTATTCTATACTATACCATCGTGTGGCTGGACCTTCAGGAGGAAGGGATGCCTCAGCATGGGCCCGCTGAGACACTCTCCTTCCCCTATACCTCACCACACACCCATAGAACATTTCCCATATTTCTTTACCTTTTTATAAACACATCACTAACAGTGTCAGAGTCCTTTGTGCTCAAAAGCACTCTATCTCTAACGCCTCAAATCTTCAACTTAACTACAAGTCAGACAGTAAAGACTCTCTCCATAAACGTAGGCTGCTCCAAACCAAGGCCTGAGACTCCTCAGCCTTCATGTGACTCTGTATGCTGAATCCCTTCCCCCTGCCCATCTACACCACCTGGTTCTCAAGCCACTCCAGAGCTCCAGCTGCCTATGCTTACAGGACTCACCCTAGAGTCACAGTGTCCTTGTTGGAATAGATGTCCACGGCCTTCACTAAGCCATCTCAGAGGACAAGAGGTGAACTGACTTCTCTAAGAATTTCCAACAAGTTACAAGTGAGAAACAGGTGGCCCCTGACTCTCTCTCTCTCTCTGACACACTCTCTCTCTCACTCTCTCTCTCTCTGTCTCTCTCTCTCTCTCTCAACAAAGACTTCCACTTAGCAATGCTTCTCACGTTGACTCCAGGAGTTATCACTATACTGACTGACTAAACTACATTTGTTCTTAACATTTCCTAATATATGATGAACAGAACAAAGTCTTTACAAGCTTCACTCATGCTCTAAGACCTGAGAAGGGGAACAGTGAGACAGCCTCCACCAGAGCCCTGCACTTGTTTGCTTTCTATCACTGTGTAAAACATAATCAAAAACAATCTGGGGAGGAAAGGGTTACTTGGCTTAGAGGATACAGTCCATCATCAGGTGAAGCCAAGGCAGGAACCTGAAGCAAGAACTAAGGCAGAGAGACTACGGAGGAATGACACCTACTAACTCACACAGCCTGCTTTCTTATACACCCAGAACCACCTGTCCTGGGCTGGCACTGCCCTGGTGAACCCTCCCACATCAATCACTAATCAAGAAAACACCCTACAGACTTGCCTGCAGGTCAATCTGATGAAGGCAATTCCTCAATTGAGATTACCTCTTTATAGATGTCTTGGTTTGTATTGACAAAAACAAAACAGAACAAAACAAGACACACACACACACACAACAACAACAACAAAACCCAGCACATACACCAGCAGTACACTCCCCAAAATATTGGCAGGAAGCTCCCAAGCTCCACAGAAATACACCCAAACCATTTCTGCCTGTGCACAGAGACCCTGGGTATCACACTTTGAGAGAGGAAGTCACAGGAAGGAATCTTAGGATCACTGAATCAGGAACAGAAAAAGAAGCAAATGAGTAGAAAGGATAACAAAACCTTTACCAATACTAAATGTACCTTACAAGCCTCTTGCTAAAGACTTTCTGTAAATTAAAAAAAGTTAAAAAAAAAAAAAGCAGCCGATCCTCAAGGGACATGATCTACTCAATAAAAATATTGTTCATATATATGATATATATTACACATATATAATATATAATATATATATACATACATATATATATATATAAAAGTTTCTTGGTTGGCTGGTCATGGTGGCACACACCTTTAATCCCAGCACTCAGGAAGCAGAAGCAGGCAGATCTCTTTGAATATGAGGCCAGCCTGATCCACATAGTAGGTTCCAAGCCAGTCAAGGCTACATGGTGAGAGGCTACATTTTTCTCAGGAAAAAAGAAAAAAAATCCAAAAACGCACAACAATTTATAAGCCTCTGCTTCCCAGGGCCCAAATCAGTGTATAGTGGGCACTCAATAAATACTTGTTTGAGGCTGAGCAGTGGTGGCGCACGCCTTTAATCCCAGCACTTGGGAGGCAGAGGCAGGTGGATTTCTGAGTTCAAGGCCAGCCTGGTCTACAGAGTGAGTTCCAGGACAGCCAGGGCTAAACAAAGAAACCCTGTCTCAAAAAACCAAAACCAAAACCAACAAACAAACAAATACATACATACATACTTGTCTGAAAAATAGAAACTGAACCAGGCAGTGGTGGCGTATGCCTTTAATGCTGGCACTCAGGGGGCAGAGGCAGGTGGACCTCTGAGAGTTTGAGACCAGCCTGGCCTACAAAGCAAGTTTCAGGATAGCCAAAGCTATACAGAGAAACCTTGTCTTCAACCCCTCAACTCCTCAAAAGGAAGAAAGAAACTGAGAAGATAAATAATTTCTTGGTCAAGGCTGTTGGTTGAGAAGCACCTGGGGTTGGGGAAAGAGGACGAGGACAAACAACTCTTAAGCCTGTCCCTGAGACTGTACCCTTGGCTTCAGTGGAACCGGATGCCCTTTACTGTGACTGTCCTCTACTCTGGGCTCCTCTACAGACTGCACCAGTCCCTTCATCTCCTTCAAGATCCAGTTCCACCATCCCAACAGTTCAGAGGTCAGAACCTGTTTGCCATCTCAAATTCAACTTGTCTAAAACTTTCCCATCCCCCAAATCCAAGTGACAATGAAGTCAATGAACCTCACTGTTCCAGTCACTCAGATTTAGAACCTTGGAATATTTGGTTCCCTGCTCTTCCTCAGCTCCCTACCTCTGACAGCATGGGCACCACACTGTAACCTAGAGAGCCTATCTTAATCTTTCAGAGGCAGCTGTTTTATAAAGTTACAAGATAAGTGCATCATCTATCTTGCCTTCATCAGTTCACCAAACAAGAACCAACCTCTCAAATTGTGTTAAAGCTAAAATAAGACATTATACACCAGAAAGTCAAATACCAGCCAGCCACTGGAATATACTCTTTTCTCCTCCAAACCTTTCAATAACCAAAACAAAAGTTCTTACCCTACTGGAGTAAACTAAATGGAGTGGCTAAAAGACAGGGCAGAAAAACTTGGAATCAGAAAATTGAAGTCCTGAGTTGCAGCTATAAGGAAATAGAATGAAGTTCTTGTTCTGTCATCTAACCTTGCTGAACTGATACATCAGATTCAGAGAGTATGAAGATCAAGTGGCAAGACTTCATTATAAAGAAACATAAGGCTCCATTCCAGCCACCTCTCACACTCTCCAATTACTCAAATGGCACTTGGGACACTGATAAGGATGAGCTACTACAGGAACTCATCAGTTTCCATTCTGAAACTGAAACTCAGTTAACAAACCATCCCACCAATCACCTGACCGCCATTATGTTGATAGTTACTAGAACATTCTAAGCGTTGGCATATTCCACTGAGAGGAGCTGAGGAAAGTAACCTCTGATAAGCCCACAGACTGAATTAAGACTTCGGTAAGACAGGTGATGCACACCTTTAATTTCGGGCAGATATCTGAGTTCGAGGCCTGAGTGAGTTCCAGGAATTCAGGGCTACACAGGGAAGCCCTCCCTGTCTGGGGCTGGTGCAGCAGACAACAAACAGCAAAGGTGACATTAAGCACTTTATAGGTACTAATGAATCAGATTCTAACAGCCGAGTTCAACGCTCCCCTCAAAGCCTACTTTTAATCTCATTAAAAGTCTCCTACAAAACTGTCTCAATTTCATAACTACTAATTCTATCACTGCCTTCCAAAGAGCTCTACCACACAGAGAACTAGCAGAACTCGCTATTTACCTTCTGTGCTTTATTCTCTGACCATTATTTAAATATCCATATCATCAGAGCCTATACTGCAGCTGAGAGTGTTACATATATTCATTAAATGCTTGCTTATTACTAACTCAACAATGTCAACAATCCCAGCGCTGGAGAGTCAGGAAGGAGGACCATAAATTCGAAGACATCCTGATCTACCTGGCAAGTTCCAAGTCAATCAGGGTTACAATGCAAGGCCTTGTCTCAAAACAACAATTTTTAAAAGACTGTCCAAACAACTTCGGTCGGTCATTAGTAACGCTTCAAAATAAATAAATTAATTAATTAATTAATTTAACCTAGGACATACAGATTTTAATTCAAATGTAAATTTCCTAAATGTAAATTTCCTAATCATTTCAATTGTCCTCCGACCCAGTAAGTCACTGGCAAGAGGCCACACCCACCAATCAATACATACCAGTCATTCTTGCCACCTCTTGAGCCCGGGAATTCTGAAATCTTTCTGTTTCTCCCGCTGTGAACGTCCTCCCCCTCTAGCCTGCACGGTTTGAACAAAGCCTAGCAAGCCCCTTTCACCGTTCTGCGGATGCCCACAGGGCGCTGAGAGGCCCTCAAAACCAGGCTGGCAGGTTCCAACACTTAAGAATCTCCCGCACAAACCCAGCCTGTTCGTTCCCAAAGCAACGCACTCCTGACACAGGCTCTGTGCTTCAGATAACGCCTGGCCGTTTACACAAAATCACCTTTGGCACCCCAGAGAGAACAGAAAACCTGAAGGGTGGGATGAGGAGTGAGTGACGCTGTTCCTGGACGTAGGATGCGAGCAGGGGGCACCTCTGGCGCCGGGAGGTGGAACTGGGGTAGGGACCCGCTGGGTCCCAACGGCTCGCCGCCGCTCCCCACCTCACCTGCAACACCAGGGCCTGTGCGGCCCCGGGAGGGAAGCCCATGCGGTCCGAAGGGTGGCGCAGCAGGCGGTAGAAGTCGGTCTTGCGATAGAGAAAGCCGAAGAGCACGCGCAGGAAGTCCTGGACATTGCCCACGTGCTGCAAGATGCCCAGCAGGGCCTGGTCATAAAGCTCAGCAGCCCCAGGCTCCATGGCTCTGCTGCCCGAGGGACGCGAACACAGTGGGCACCGCCTCACACCGGCTGATTGGCCACTTCCGGCGTGCACGCCTAACGGCTCCCCCGGACAGCGAAGACGCGGAACTTCCGGTCCGCGCTCCTTACTACCGGCGGTAACCAATCGTCCTCCTTGCTGCCCTGCTGGATGTCCTCCACCGCGACACCTGCCTAAAGGAGACTGGTACGCACTCAGTATGGTTCCTACATGCAAGAACAACCATAGTCGCGGTGTGGAAAGCGCTTGCCAACCATGTTTGAAGAGGGCGGAAGCATTGTGGTGACGGCCACTTGACGTGTGCCCTGGAAATGTCACGTGGTCTGGAAGCCTTTCTTCTTTCTAGATTGAATTCCTGCCTAGGTATCTGGTGCTTCTTATAAGTCAGGGCTACCACATTTTGCTTGTGAGCCAGGGAACGGAAAAGGGATGTTGTAGGATTTTATACAATTCCTATTAAATAACAGAGCTATGAGTGTAACTCAAAAGGTTGCACCAGATTTCAAGGTGACTTAATAGGACAAGAAAAGTATGAAAAGCTAAATGAAGGAAAAAAAGAATTATGATACCGTAGATATGTGTGTGTGTGTGTCTGCATGTATAGTATGTGTGTATACACATGCTGTTAGTGATAAATGCCTGTCAAAGTAGTATAAAGCTGATTCAAAGATCATTTTGAGGCTCTGTATATAGACATTTTAAGAAAACGTTTGTGTAAGATTGACACACAATCAGTCTGGTTTATACCTGTAATCCCGGCATCCAAATCATGGCCAACCTGTGCTACAGAGTCAAACCCTGTCTCAGAGAGAGAGACAGAGAGACAGATGTCTCTAGGGACATATGTGCTAGGTCACAAACCCCACAAATGGCTGAAGTGCCTAATAACATATCAAAGCAGACTCTGGCCACCAGTCTCCCTCAGTCCCTTCTGTTACAGGATCCTTCTAGCTGGCATACCCTGCCCTCTATCCTAAACTTCTCCAGTCCAGAGTCTGGGCTGGGCTTTTCCTCCCAGCTTCAGTGATTCCTATATAACCCAGCCATTTTGGTTATTAGGTCCTTTTTGGCCTCTTGGTCTCCTGGCCTCTTGACTCCAGGTCTTTCTTATCCTTTCCCCTAATCCTTCTTCTCACATGGCCCAGCTATGTCTACAGTTGTGTCCACTCTGAACTCTCCCATATGCCTCTGCTTCTGGCTGTGTGCTCCCTCCTGTCTACAATAAACCTCCACCACCATACCTAGAAGCAGTCATGTCCTCCTTTTTATTTCTTTTCTTCATTCAATATAGCTAAGTTGGTAGAGTGTGTGACTACTGTGCCCTGAGTGGTGTTGTATAAACTGTGTAGTGACCCATACCTGTAACCTCAGCACTAGGAAGGTGGAGATAGAACCAGAAATGTATTCATCCACAGAGCCAATTCAAGACCAACGTGGGCTCTTCGAGATCCTGACCAGAAAAAAAAAAAAAAAAAACAGGAAAAGATTTTTAAATGAATTGCATCTCTACTAGACTAACATCTACAAATTAACTTTTTTTTTAAAGACATTGTCTCACTATGCAGCCTTGGCTGACCTGGAACTTGCTGTATAGACCAAACTGTCCTCAAATTCACAGAAATTTGCCTGTTTCTGCTTCCCAAGTGCTAGAAATAAAGGCATATGCCACCACACAGAGCAAAATACTGATTTTATTCTTGGGGTTTTTTTTTGTGTGTGGTACTTGGAGTCAAACTCGGGGTCTTGAACACACTAGACAAATGCTTTTCTAGTAAGACACATCACAGCCTTAACCAATATCTTAATAGTGTCAGGCCTTAATACATTTTAAATAAAGGCATACAGATAAATTGATGTCAAGTAATAATTTAACATTTTTTTCAACTTAAAACTTGTTTATGGTCTTAAATTTTGTTTCATGAACCCATGGAGCTACCGGGACGGCTCAGCAGTTATGACAGTTGGAGGTGGCACACACCTTTAATCCCAGCAGAGGCAGACAGATCTCTGTGAATTCAAGGCCAGCCTGGTCTACCGAGAGAGTTCAGGACAGCCAGGGCTACAAGGAGAAACCCTGTCTCAGAAAAACAAAAACAAAGGACACTGGCTGATATTCCAGAGGCCCCAGATTTGATTCCCAGCACCCACATGGTGACACACAATCATCTCTAAATCCAGGGAATCTGCTTCCCTCTTCTGGCGTTAGAGGACACCGCATGCACATGCAAACATACATGAAGGCAAAACACCCTTACACAGAAGATGAGAACAATGTTGAAGAATCCAAAGTTTTCATGTTTTATTCATAGCTATTTACTATACTGGAAGTTAATGCTTAAATGTATTAATTTGTAAATAACTATACATATCACATGTCAATGTCAGGGTCTGAGAATTGTCACACAAACCAATTTCAGTTAAACAAGAGTAGTAACACTGTATAACACAGTAAGAGTAGTAAACACAGCGTAACACTGGACATCCAGGTCCACAAGAAAGAGAAACCTAATTGTGGCACCAGTCTGTCCTCAGGGCAGGCAGCTTTTTATAGGAAAAAACAAGTTCTAGAATTCAAAGGCAAGCAGTGAAGTGGTACAACAGTTTTGGCTAAGTAGACAAAGTATTATCTAACCTTTAAGCTAATTATCTAACCTTTAATCAGCTAACCTTTAAGCTGATTGGTCCTGACCAAGATAAGAAGGGTGGTGGACAGGTTCTGAACAAGGGAATTTCAGAACATTGAGATAACAGGGCACAAGTGATTCAGCCATAACTTTTTGGCTTATTAGTAACATTCGCTAGTGTTTGCTATGGATGATTACATCTGGGAAGTAGAGTCTGAGAACCTGAACTTAATTTCATCTTATGAGCAAAATGGAGACTGAATATATAAAATGGCTACAGCTATGTTGAAAGGAGCAGGCCTCAACAGTCAACATACTTTTAAAAAGAGTGTCTTTGGGCTGGAGAGATGGCTCCCTCATTAAAGGCTAGGCTCACAACCAAAAATATAAAAAGAATATTTTTTATATTTTGACAATGTAACGCATGTATACAATGTATCTTGATCATATGAATCCCAATTCCTACATTCCAAACCCCCAATGTGACCACCTCCTACCTCATTTACTTTTTTTTTTATAATTCACTGAATCAGTGCCGCTTGCTGTCAACAAACTTTTAAAAAAAAATAGTGTGAATGCTAAAGAAATGGCTTTCTGGTGAAGAGCACTTGCTCACATGTAGAATGTCCAGGCTAATGTCAGGAATCCCCTTTGCCCACTCTTCTACCATTCACTGAGGAAGGATCTCTCAGTCAAACACAGAGTTTATTGCTATGGCTAGTCATGCCATCCAGCTTTCTCTGCTGATCTCCTGTCTATGCCTTCTGAGGCTAGAATTACGGGCAACCACACCCATTGATCATTTACTTAGCTTCTGGGGATCCAAGTTCTAGTCTTCACACTTGCATGGCAAGTGCTTTAACCACTGAGTCATCTTCCCAGCCACTTTGAATAATTCTTTACTATCTAAAAGGTATCACAAGGAAGAGAACAGAAATCAGTCATAGTGGTGTACACCTGACATGCTAGCATTTATATGCAGAAGCAAAAGGATCAGAACTTGAATGCCAACAGTAGCTACATAGCGAGTTCAAGGCCAGCCTGAACTACATGACACCTTCTCTCCAAAAAACACCCCAAAAAAAACAAAAAAAGAGAAAAATTACAGACTGCCTCTGGAATAGAGACATCAAAGAAGGAGAAAAAGGATACAATATAGGAGAGAAGGCTACTTTTGAATACATTTGCATTAATTGCACATTTAAAAAGTAAATAAAATTAATCTAAAATAAAATTAGTGGAAGCTGGATATGGTGGTACATAGGTTTAACCCTAGTATTCAGGAGGCAGAGACAGACTGATCTCTGTGAGTTCTACAGAGCAAGTGGCAGGCCCAGTGAAATTTTTGTCTAAAAGAGAAGGGAAAAAGTAATAATCAAACAAACCAATAAATAATAAAGTTAGTGGGCTGGTGAGGTGACTTATGAGTAAAGTTTCAGCACTTAGGAAGCTGAGACAGGAAGAGTGTCAAGAGTTCAAGACCAGCCTGGGCTACAAAGTGAGGGCCAGTTACCCCCAGGAAGGAAGGAAGGAAGGAAGGAAGGAAGGAAGGGAGGAAGGGAGGGAGGGGGGGAGGGAGGGAGGGAGGGAGGAAGGAAGAAAAGGAAGGAAGGACATAAAAGAAAGCATAGCAAACATGCTATCATTTATTTGGCCAGCATTTGAAAACTTTGATCATACAAAAACCTACAAAGAAATGTTCATTGCACTACTCATATCTGCAAAAATTAGAAGCAGCCTAGAGTCTCCTCACCCTTGATGGGCGAATGGTTCATGAAAGGAAATACTATTCAGCAATAAGAAGGAATGAGCTATCAAGCAACGATAAAAAGGGAGCTTATCTTTTTTATTAACTGCTGTGTGTGTGTGTGTGTGTGTGTGGTAAATAAATGTACTTGTGGGACTGTGCATTCCCACATACAGATGGAGGCCAGAAGTCACATCAGGTGTCTTTCTCAATCACTCTCCATCTTTTGGTTGGTTGGTTGGTTGGTTGGTTGGTTGGTTGGTTGGTTGGTTGGTTTGGTTTAGTTCTTTTTGAGACAGGGTTTCTCTGTGTAGTCCTGGCTATTCTGGAATGCACTCTGTAGACCAGAATGACATCACTCACAGATTTGCCTGCCTCTGCCTCCCAAATGCTGGGATTAAAGGTGTGTGCCACCATTGCCCAGCTTGGTTTTTATTTGGTTTTCGTTTGTTGGGGAGTAGGGAGCAGGTCTATCAACTGAACTTGCATTTGGCTACACTGAATGGCCAGCGAGCCCTGGGGATCCTCCTCCTCTGTCTCTGGAGCACTGAGATTATAAAAGCATGCTGTCACACAGGCTTTTTCCATGGATGCTCGAGATCTAAACTCAGGTCCTCATGTTCGTACAGGAAGCGCTTTAGTAACT